CTACTAGACTGTTTTCTCATGAATTGTTTTTTCACAGACATTAATGATCTGTATCCTTCATAGGCTTCCAATATTTCATCTAAAGACTAGTAGTTAGCTCTTTGTTAAAAATAATTCATGCTGTCATTATACATATATTTTCCAAATGGAATTATTACAGCTATAATACAATATTGTGTTATGAGTATCATGGTTTACCTTTCTCCTAATAGAAATAGTCAAGTGAATTTAGGGAATTTATAATTTTTTGTTAGCTCTCTTTTCTTTGTATCTCTTTTTTTGATGTCCAGATATTGTGCTGAACTGCACAAAGTATTCCCTTCTTAGAAGATTTTCCTTAAAATTCCTTGGAATACTGGGCAGGTAGAAAAAAACTCAGTGGACCATGCTGAAGCAAAATGTATTTGACCCAAAAATCCAGAAGAAAATATTTGAACTAACAATGTTTCAGTTGATTTTGGTTCCTTTCATCATATACAAGAAGAAGATCCACTGGCTCCCACCAGGATAATATGTACATGGCTCCCCCCACCCCACCCCGAAAGCCAAGAAAAAATAGATGAAGAACAGATGGCAGAGTGCTCTGACAATGGGTGAAGGAGCAGCTTGTATCTATAAGACAGTAGGAGCTGTTCTTCACCAAAAACAATATATTATTCTCTTACATATTGATAAGAATTCACTGCATCACTGTTAGCACTATCATCCTGTTCATCGTCAAATTACTTGAGGGCACCAGTAACATCTCTATTCCCCCCCAGCCTCTTCTTACTCGTCTTTTACCAATAATTGGAGGCTCTTTCAGGGTGAGGGGAATAAGACCTGTTGTTGTTACTGTATTTGGCATATTGAAAATGCCATGGGGAGTTTGCCAGGCTCTGCCTGTGCGGGCGGGATACTCTTGGTAGCTTGCTGGGCTTTCCAAGAGGCATATATTTGTATATTTTTCTCTATGATTTGTTGCCTACTGTCTGAACCCCATCAGATATGGTGTAGTAATTGTGGAAAATAGGTAGGAAGTATCTTATAAAGTGTTGCTCAGCCACTTTGCAGCCGTGTGGTCCAGAAAGTGGCCTGGAGCATGGCGGTGGTTGGGTAGTGGAGGTCAGCTGCTGGGACTGGGCCCTTGGGGTGGGGAGGGGTATCACCTGTCCCACAGCCTGGCTGAATTATTATGTAATATTTTGAGGTTATTTGTCCTGGGTTAAAAGTCAAAAGTCCAGGGCCAGAGAGATAGTACAGCGGGCAGGGCGTGCTTGCCTTGTACATGGCCAACCCAGGTTCGATCCCTGGCATTCCATATGGTCCATAAAGCAATGCCAGGAGTAATTCCTGAGTGAAGAACCAGAATAACCCCTGAGTATCACTGGGTGGGACCAAAAAAAGAAAAAAATAAGTAAAAAAAAAAGTTTATACTGAGAGCTATAAACCTTAAGTGTTACTTGTTACTTTGGGGATGAATATATTGCTTACTTTTATGAAAGAATACCAGAGATGTAATGACTTGTTTAATGTCAGGTCAGTTTTTTCTAGAAATTATTTATGTTCTCAATCACAACCTCAATAGCTGATGCATAGTAATCAGTAAAGAACGGTCACACAAAATCATGAAAAAACATTGAAATGTTGACCTAGAATTTAATAAGGCATATAAAAGAGCTAAATTGTCAGGGGGAAAAATTCTGCAGTTGAAACTTAAATCCAAAGGCAAGCTTCAACAAAAGATATCTTGATTCAAAAATTATTATCAGACATTAAGATAATAAAAGTTGTAAATGTGTAAGAAAAATGGGCACTCTTTATTCATGTGTTCAATATCTTTACAAGATTTTAAGACTGAGAGATGTTTAGAGACTAGCCTTAATTTAAACAATATCTATGTTCCTACAAAATTGGTAAATGAAGTGAATTTCTGAGATAATCTATGATAATTTTGGATTTTTTTTCTGAAAGTGAATGTGCTAAGTTTAAAACCTGAAAATACATGGCTGAGATGTCAGACAATACAATACACATTTAATTTAAAATGTATGAAAGGATTTTTTAATCATTTAGAAATTTAATTCCATTAAAAATAACAAAAATTTGCTAGGCATCCCCAAGAACTGATAAATGACTGAGACAGTCTTTTCCAAAACAGTAGGAAAGATAAGACAGAGCTGAAGCAAAATATGTTCGGAGCTGTATGAATATGTACGAGAGCATGTTGGTCAATTAGGAGGGGGCCTGAGAGAAAATATGATACAGATGTCGTGGTGAGACACTATAGATGGCTGTTAGTGTCTCTTAACTTGTTCCTGTTCACTTCACAATGACACAGCTTAAAATTTATCTTTTAAACAGGGGATTCTCCACAGTACTAAGTCCTGGCATGCTTAGCAACTTCTGCCATTAAGGAAGAGAGCATCACTTTGGAGTGTGGTTCTGAAATCTCAAGATGCACAAGAATCTCATGGGGTGGTTAAGTAGGAAAGATCTTTCTAGATCAGTTATAGCTGATCTATTACAGTTGGTCTATTACATCTAACAAAACATCCCAGAATATAATGGCATAAAAGAACACACTCTTATTCCCATCATTACATGTTAGCTGGAACATTCTGCTGATCTGATTTTGGGCCTGGATAAGTTGAGTCTCAGCTGAAAAGCTGAAGAGCCTACACAGGATCTTCCTTAGCAGTCCAATATATGTCTCAAACCTGCCCTTTGGGGAAGGGCGAAACAGACTCTCCCACATTGTGGGAAGACAAGGGAAAGACCAATTCTCAGCTGGGTCTACCCTAGAGGCTGCTTCCTTTGACTTGGAATACTGGGCAGGTAGAAAAAAACTCAGTGGACCATGGTTAACTGGACACTTATTTCAAATTCAGGCAGCCATGAGGGAATACTAAAGGATCTGGAGCAAAGGAACACAACTATACTAATACGTCTGTATTAAACTAATAGGGATTTGGAGGTGTGGCCTGAGTGGCTGAAAACCTACAAGGCCCTAGGTTTGATCCCTCCATCTCAAGGCTCTGGCAGGTACTGAGTGTAAGCATGGTGGCCCCCAAACATGCCGGGACTTAGTAATGTGGAGAATCCCCTGTTTAAAAAATAAATTTGGGTGCTGGAGCGATAGCACAGCAGGTAGGATGTTTGCCTTGTATGCGGCCGATCCGGGTTCGATTCCCAGCATCCCATATGGTCCCCTGAGCACCGCCAGGAGTAATTCCTGAGTGCAGAGCCAGGAGTAACCCCTGTGCATCGCCAGGTGTGACACAAAAAGCAATAAATAAATAAATAATAAAAAAATAAATTTTAAGCTGTGTCATTGTGAAGTGAATAGGAACAAAGAGTAGTTGGAAAAACAGCACTGTTGGATTCATGGAGGCGGAGGTTAATGAAAGTCGGAATTCATGCGGTAGCAATGGGAAACCAACTGATAGGAGAGGTAAGAAGTTGCCTTCAGAGAACTGAATCAACAGTTAAAAGAGGAGGGATGAGGAGGGAGCAGCAGCTCTTTGGTTCTTTTTTCCCTTTTATACCTGACTCAGATATTTAAATCCATTACTCCACATCTGGAGTCCTTAAAATCATTGCCAGTCGTCCTATGCTAATCCAACATTTAATAAAACAGTGTTGGCAATCAGAACTACTGCTTTCAGCTGCCATTCTAATGAAGATAAGCTTTCTGCTCACTTCCTGGATGCAAAGCATTTCAAGATTTAGAGCACCTGTTTGGTCTAAAAAAAAAGGTTTTTTTTTCAGTGATTCCATTTTTCCTTGATATTAAAGAGTTTGTAAACCACTTAAAATAAGATGAAACTGTACAAGTAACATTATTTTCAATTTTATTTGAATCAAAGCTATGATTGATGTGGATAATTTTGCATAGAGACCACATGAATTATATTTAAATTAAATCTGATTTAAAGGCAATAAAGTCCTAATACCTCATTATCTTGAACTGACTAAAATGCACAGAATATACTAGTTTAATGGCCACAGACAGGTAGGCATCACACAATACACATAATAGAGTCAGAGAACATTTTATACTGCTTTATTATAAATAACTGAAAACAATATTTTATTTTCAAATCCAGATAACAAAACTGTAGATATCATGCTTTCTTTTCACCCCCCCCCATGACTTAATTTTATTATTGTGATAAGAGTAGGGAGATAATGCAATTTATCAAAAGACTTGTAAAAAATATCTTAGGAATACAAAACAAAGCACTTTCATTCACATATGAAAACAACCAAGGAGTGTTTTGAGGAAAATATTAAACAGTGCTACAAAAATGACATCAAGAATAGAAGAATGTGGAGTATCTGCAGATATCATTAAAGGTAAAGGCCCTCCCGTTGATCGTCGATTTGCTCGAGTGGGCCCAGTAACGTCTCCATTGGAGACTTTTGTTGTTACTGTGTCTGGCATATCCAATACTCTCGGTAGCTTGCCGGGCTCTCCGATATCATTGTGAGGCAAAAATGGGGTTGCTTGTATGTATGTATATATATGAGGAGTTGATGGTAAACTTTAAAATGTTATTTTCTTCAAAATGTAAGCAGCTTTAGTCTATTAGATGGAAGAAAGCCACAAAAACAGAATATATAGGTCACCAGGTTTCAAATCATGTTCTGACTTTGAATTAAAATTTTAATTTTTCCAGGACACTCAAATATGGATTTTAATTTTCTTCCTCATATTAACTTCTTTTTCATCAAAACTGTTCATTTTATAACACTGAATACTTAGCAGCAGCAAATAATCCTTGAAAAAACTTTATAATTGCTAAAATTTGCCAAAATGTACTTAAAATAGGTTTTCCTAAAGGAATATTTTCTTTTTTTTTCCTATGGGAAAATTTTTAATATGATCATTCTAGCAGCTAGTAGTCGGAATTTTCTTAGGTGACTTATTTCCATATTATCTGTGGTTTTCTATAAATAATGCAGAGTTTTGCTAATTTTGTCCACTCACAACACTTTAGCATAAAATACCTAAAAAAGGACCATGAAGGAAAAAAGTATGCATTAATGTATCTCATGAAATAGCATTAGTAGATTTCCTTGAAAATATGCTTATTTTCATCATGTTGCATATTCAGGATGATACAGTTATTAAGTTTACCATGGATATAAATATGCTATGTACAATGGTATTTATATTCTTTTACTTGTCATAGACTTCAAAGTATATCTTTTATAGAAACTGGAAAAGTGTGGATCTGGAAAACATGTTTCAGTTAATTAGCAAAAATTAAATTAGCATGAAATAGCAGGATAAAGAAGTGAAAGATCTAGATACATTAAAAAATGTAGTTACACTTAAATGTACATATATGCAAGAGGATAGTGTAAAATGAACTGCTCCAGTTTATTTGATTTTATTTCAGCTTAATACACTCTAAAATACTGCTTTCATGTATAATATCAAAGGACGTATTAAATGCATGTATAAGAGCCTGATATATTTCACATTCTTTAAACTTTATTCAGGGCATAAATATATATATATATATATATATATGTCATTTTTTAAAATAAGTGAAAACTGTGGAACAAGGATGGGATAATTTTTTTTAGACATCCTATGTATTACTTGATTATGTCTATTTTCTTCACAAAACTGTATCAAAAACTCAGAGTAAAAGTGTGAATCTATCTCACACACAGTTATTCTTCCTGCACTATAAATCATTGTGGTTTACCAAAATAAAATTTACATTTGAAGAGAGGTTAACTGAACTCAACTAGTAAATATGACTTAAGAATTAGGCTTTTGAAATCCATTAACCAACTCAGAGGGCAGTACCGTTCTTTGAACTTTTATTAAAATTGTGCACCAGTATAAAGTCATTGTTAGTAGGTTTGCATAGGAATGACGCCATTTTGTAGGTGTAAAACATCTTTCCTAGAGGGTGATGGTATGCCTGTTTCTATTCTTCATGTATATTCCATTAATTTTTCCCTCCACTTCTTCAGTTTTACATTTAAAAAGCCATTTTTATTTTCTGGCCACCACAGTTCCCGAATAGGAGCCAGTAGTAGTTTGAAGCACAGCAAACTGAGGCATTTCTTCCCTTTTAAGAGCCTGACAGTCAGTGGCCTTTTCCGTGGCCTCTGCCCAGAAGATAAGGATACTCCAAGGATAGACTTGAGCAAATTCAAAAGGCCCCAAATCCAGAGTCTGGAAGGTTGATGATTTCACATAACTGCCGCTTGCTACTGGAAGGGAGACAATGTTGTTTGCTTGAGAGGTTTGCAAGCAGTTAGTCATCTGTAGTCTCTCCAGATTTCTGTTGGTTTTATGATTGCCTCTGATGTTTTTGCCTTCAAAAATCCAAAGGCCTAATCATCATGGTGGTGGAACGTAAGGAGTAACTGGGACCTTTGAAGTAATGCCACTTTATTCCATTGAGTTTTCCATGGTTTTGTCCGGCAGTATAGAACATTCCATTCAGATTGGATGGGCCACAAGCGTCAAACCACCAGCCTGAAAAATTAATTGTGAAAGAAAAAAATAGAAGAAATAATTACTGTATTGGAACACTTAGAAATCAATATCCCTAATAAGTGTAATAAGAGTATCTCGCCCGCATGGCTAGAGCCTGGCAAGCTCCTCGTGACGTATTCGATATGCCAAACACAGTAACAACAAGTCTCACAATGGAGACGTTGCTGGGCCCGCTCGAGTAAATCATAACTCATGTAATGGAAATAAAAAAATATTTTTGAACAAGTTCAGAAGCTTAGACAACTGACATCTAATGGGGAGAAAGAGATGTTTTCCATCTACTAAACAGTTTTGTCAAGAACTGGCCCTCAACTGAAATGAATTGGCCTTCTGTTGAACTGGGTTCTGGGCTGTTACTGTGAATTTGAATACTTTAATCCTCTTCATAGTTTATAACAAAATGGGGAAGTTTTCATAACAGTAGCCATGTGGTTACTCTAAAGCAGAGATCCCCAAATTTATTTGGCCTACAGTCTTCATATCAGAAGCAAATTACTTATCATGCCCCCTGGAAATCTATCTTCTTTAAGCAAAGAGACAGAAAGCCCAACCCAGTTGTACCTGAAGATACAGCTCCCCCCACCCCCATGATCCCAGCATTCCCAGTGGGTGGTAACACCCACTTTGGGAAATACTGCTCTCAAGTTTAATTTTTGCAATTGTTCATGTTCTTTCTAAACAGTAAAAGAAAAACAAGTTGTTGAGTAACATGGAGATCTGCATTTGTTTTTATAGGTGTCTGTAAGGATAACTCAGAACTTCATATTATGAATTAGTTCTTGGACAAAACAGTACTACCCCCGTCTCCTAAAGTAACACTACTGAAATCTGTTGGGAGAGATTTATGCCAGAGACATTCTGGCATATTTTTATTTGGATACAGTTGACCTCCCTTTGATTGCAAGTTGTACCTAAGGGACTAATAGCAAAAGAAAGAGAGAGCTGCACAGCTGATGTTTAGCTGTAATATGAGCACCGTCTTGTAGAAACTTTAGAAAAATTTCAATGGCAAAAAGCTAGTTCTCATTTTCCAATTTTGGAAGATGAATACAGCAGAATTGTGTTTATAAAGTCATACTAGAGGCATAGTAAGCTGTATTAACTGTCAATTCCTAAGGTACATCTTGATGGATTTGGAAAGACACTATACTCAGTGTTGTTTTACCAAACTGAGTCAAACAACTTAGATGTTCATAAAATCAATACATGGAGACAAAAGTTTCTTGTTTGGCAAGGAAGGAAAAACTGTAAACTCTGTTTTCCCTTAAGATTAATTCCTTAAAATTTTTGTTTGTTTTTAATTTTTTAAATAAGTCCAACTAGTATAAACATACTATTTATATTACAAAAGGCATATTATTCGGACATTGATTGACCCAGAAAACTCTAAAAAGGGTAAAACGAAATGCAACTTGATTGCTTCAGTGTTTAGCTTTCTCTTCCTCTTCTAAACCCTCCTTGAGGCACTTTCACATCATATTCAGGAGCATTTCTTTGTCTTTGAAATCTCTCTGGTCTCTGAAGCAATGGCAGTTACTCTATTGTTAAGAACTACTGCACATCATAGAAAGATTCCACAAAGTACATTAGGCAACTCAGAGTAAATCATGTGTTTTTGTTCGGTCTAAAGAAAATCACAAGAGTTCTGGAAGAGTGGGGAAAAAGCAAGGTCTGCGGCAATAGGAATTTGGCTATAAAGGACACAGGGTATAGGACAGACTGACTGGGAAACTTTGAGTGGGTTTCAGAAAGAGACAAGGAATTGTGAGGAACCACTTGGCCTTGTGCATCTTCTCTGAGGAAGTGGAATTTTGGAGACACTGAAAGAACTTCAGTTTGGCTGGTTAATAGTTAATAAGAGCAATGTTGCTTCAAGCTTAGAGTCTGAAGAAAAACCTTTTGCACACAATTCTAAGAGCAATGAAAAAGCATGATTTAAATATTGGTTCATTTTGTCTATTTCATGCTGTACCTAGTAGAGTTTGCCTAACAAATTACTATCACATTTCAAGTTTGTTGAAGGTACTGACTGAATTTGACAAAATATTCCTCCTTATAAACTGAAAACCACATTGAAAATCCTCGCTTATTATATTAATGCTGTATATGACATAATTACTCGAATAGTTGTCGTGCATTTCTCAACAGAACAGACATTGTCCCTGCCTTCATGTAAATTACTTCTAATGTGAGAAATGGGGCAGGGGTAAGCAAATCAATGAAATACTAACAAATAATGATCTCCCCCCAATACACACACACACACACACACACACACACACACACACACACACACACACTTTAAGAATAGAATCAGAGTTATAAAGGAGAACAGCATTCGAAACAGTTTGATAGTTAATGAGACTGGATATACTACAGGGAGGTAGCCCTGTAGAGATGTAGAAACTTTTGAGCTGAATATGTTACACACTAATGCTTTGAGAAAGAGATACTGTTGTATTAGGGAATAAAAGAACATTCGTGTGGCTGGTACATAGTGAACAAGAGGGAAACTGAAGGAAAGATTAAAAAAAAAAGCAGGTGGTCAGTAGAAAGTTGGAACAATATGGAAACATTTAGTTTATCAAGGTTACTTATGCATTATTAGAGAAACAAATAAAAACAGATTCTAGGAATGGCAACCAATATTTAAGCAGAATAATCAGATATTTTTTAGAAACTTTATTATATCTAATCGGCCCAAGTTATCCTGACAGCATGATGAACACATGACAGCAAGATAAAAAGGAGGAAAATTGATCTAAAATCAATTCTACAGATACTAACTAATGGACAGACAGGAATATCCATGTTGAATAAAGTAAAATTCCTGATTTTAAGGAGTACACAGTTTTTTGTAGAAGACAAAAATATGTTAAAAAAAAACAAGATGGTAATCTTTAAGCAGAGATTAGGCAAAGAAATTGTAGAAACAGAGGTAGGAGATCCTTTTTTGTGGGTTCATAGATTCATCATTTACTCTCTGAGTTATGTCATCCTGAAGGATAAGTTCAGTAGACAACTTTCAAAACAGCATGTACTGTGAAGTTGGAAGAGGAAGAGCGAGTGAGAGTATCTGCTGGCAGCTTTGATTTGCCTAAGCATCCATGGGTAAGACTGAGAATCCAAGAGTCATAGACAATGAGGAGGAGGTATAGAGGGTTCTTTAAATCATAGTTTCAGAAAATCTCTTGTGGGCAGTGAGGAGCCTGGTAAGCATAAAACCAGAAATTTGAAGACTCAGATTTGGATGTTGTGTAGCCAATTAACAAAGCAATCCTAACAATAATGTAGCATTTTATATTTATCAAACTTTAAATATGTATCAGGAACTCATCTAATAGAGTTAAATGAACTTACTCTCTCAGTTTTATGTGGTGTGCCAAACACTATAACAAAGAAACCAATGGTCAGATAGTTTAAGGAACTTTTCTTAGGTCCGATTGTCACTTTGCTTCTCATTCACTAGATGTGAATTAGAGTGTTGGATCAATTATCTTAAGATATGAAGTTGATTTCCTGACTTTCAGGGCTGTTAACATTCAATTTAGTTGCTTCATGTACTTTGTCTAGGAAGTGGGACAGGTTTAGAGTAAGAACAAAAAGGATTAAAGCTTGTGGGTATCATAATGATTCAATAATAAAAACCAGGTTATCAGGGCCAATAAATCACCTTATTTACTTGGCAGGGTTTTTTAGAAAAATATTAAAACAATCGAGAAGCAAAAGAGTGGTATAACTTAATGCAGAGCCCAGCAGCTTGCGGCAGAAAAGTAAATGGACCAGGCATTAAACTGCAGCACCATGCCTACCCAGGAGGGAAAGGGTGTTGCTCCCTTCTGCCTTTTTCCCCTCTGGCAGCAAGGTGGCTGCCTCCTCAGAACTTATAGGAAAGCCAGATATGAGCCAGCAGTGACGGAGCAACTGCAATCTCATGGGTAGGGGGGTGGTACCAACTCGTCCTTCACGCCCTATCGAGTTCACAAGTTGCCCCCCACGAGTGGCTCTCTGGCACAGCCATGGCTCCAGAGGCAAAAGGACTTAATCCAGAGTCCAACAGCTTGCGGCAGAAAAGTGAATGGACCATGTGTTAAACTATGGTGCCATGCCTCCCCGGGAGGAAAAGGGTGTTGCTCCCTTCCACCCCTCCCCCTCCCCCCAGCAGCAAGGTGGCTGCCACCTCAGAGCTTATTGGAAAGCCAGGTATGAGCCAGTGGTGACGGGGTAACTGCAGTCTCATGGGAAGGGGGTGGTGGTACCAACTCGTCCTTCATGCCCTACCGAGGTCACGAGTTGCCCCCACGAGTGGCTCTCTGGCACAGCCATAACACCAGACGCACAGAAACCAATCTCGTAATTATCTGGCTCTTTGCAGAAATCCAAAATCGCCAAAGCGGCAATGCGACATTATATGATTCTCATACCAGCTATAGAAAACAAAGTATTTCACAATGCCTTTTCAGCAATTCTGATTGTTGCGGGGGAAATTCTAAACAATAATGGTGCATCTTTTGTCGAAATAATGAATGTAATCAATGTAGAGAAGAGTTAAGTAGAAATCATCTGCCTCACAGGCATTGGGAGGGTTGAGAGGGGGGGTATATTGGGGTTCTTGGTGGTGAAATGTGAGTACTGGTGAAGGGGAAGGTGTTTGATCATTGTATGACTGAGACTTAAACCTGAAAGCTTTGTAACTTTTCCCACAGTGATTCAATAAATAAATATAAGAAGAAAATAAATAAATAAATAAAATTATGAAAAAAAAAGTAAGGTGGAGTTCATGCCCAATTCAATCAGCTAATCTGTGGCTGAATAAATAGCAGTATTCCTACATAAAAAAAAGAGTGGTATAATATTTGCTTTGTACTTAAATGGCATTTACATACCTCATGTAAGTTTCCATTTCAATGATTTGTTTTGATTTCACATGGAAATCAAAGAATTTAAGGTGTTCATTTATCTCTTTATCTCTTTATCTT